AAATTAATTACATTTATATTATATTTTAATTCTTAAATTGGGTGAGAATTAAAAAATGAATTAAAGTAGAGGGCATACTAATTAATTTCTAAATTTTGAATTTACACACACAGATCAGAGCTTTCTTTCCCCCCCATCAGGTGGTGAATGAGAGAGTGTTGTAACTATAGCTTAGATACAAACCCAAAAAATGACCAAATCAAAATAAAAAATAAAAAGTTTCTCTTTTTGGTGATGAAGTGAAATTTATTTTTTTTAATAAGAAAAAGTTAAAAACTAAAGAGAGGAGGGATTTTTTTTTGATAAAACAGGTATCTCAACTTTTGACCGGACTAATCTTACTAATATTTATAATTACTAATATTTATAATTAATCCAGATTCTATCTTTAAGGGTGATATGTGTGTTCTATTAAAATTATTTGTACTCAAATGGTATTAAAGAAATTCAAATATGCATTCTTAACATGGTTCAAATGATTTTTTAACTACTTGAGTCAATCCTTATTAACTAAAAGTAAAGGGATTTTGTGATGCTGATTATATGCATGTTTATTGTACGATTAGGGTTTGTTAGGAAGTTACAAAAATTGTCCCATAGAAAATTTTTTTATGAGGAACGGTACAGGTATGTTAAAAATTAATGAACCAGTATCTACCCTATTTTTCAGTGAACTTTTTCCCCCTTTATTTAATTTCTTTGATCAACCTTCAGTGAACCTTTTCCCTATAAATAGTGGGTATTGGGAGACTAGGGCCATAGTCATTCCCCAATATTCCTGTCTATGATCTCTCCTCTTTCCCCTCTCCTTTCTTTCCCTTTCTTTACCTCTTTCTCCCAGAGCGAGCCTTTTCTGTTTTGTTTGCTTTTGCAATGATAATCTAATGATTGGGGTAGGAAGGGAGTGGGAGGAGAGGTAGAGAGGCACTGGTGATGCTGTTGACAGAAGATAGAGAGCACTGAGGATGCTATGCACTATTAATGGAGCCTGCAGCACTACTGCATCTCACTCCTTTGTGCTCTCTATGCTTCTGTCATCACCTTCAGCCCTCCGTCATGTCCCATCCCCTCCCATCTTTAACCTCTCTTTTTCTATTTAATATTATGAAAGATCAGCTTAATAATGGTAATTTTCCTTGTCCTTTATATCCTTGTTCTCTCATGTTCATATTGATGTCCTGTTATATTCACCCTTTAATTAGACTCTTAATTATAAATCTCATTTTGTTTTTCCAATTCTTGAATTGCTAGTACTCTGTTTTCCTGTTTAATTTTTGCAGATAGGCTTTGTGGTATGGTTGTTTTTTGCACATAAATTTCTTTTGAAAAGCAGAATTTTTTTCAAATACAAGAGTTACTATAACCCATTTACAAATTGATTGGCTTGGTCATGATGGTGAAGAACTCTTGAAATGGCAGCTAATGTGCAGCATTTTACTTATAAAAAAGCAAACTGCAGTTTGCCTCTTCACTTAATTATTGATAAATGAAATGAGTTCTTTAATATTAAAAGTTCTTTCTCTCCATCAATGATTAAAAATAATGCAGTGCACACTCTTTTTTTACTTAAACAATTTATTTGTGTTTTATGTGGTCCAATTTATTATATTTATTCTGGTTTTAACAAGAAATTGGGAGTTAGTGATTGATACCCATTTTCAGTCTTGAAGCTGGAGAGTGTTAACGCATGAATCCGAACCACTAGACTTTGGATAGGTAGAAGCTAAGAAAACATTCTGATGCTATGCTCAGAAGATATTCCCAAAAGAAGTAGGTACCACTTGCTTTGTGGGTGAAGGGTCCATCCTTGTTCATCAATATTGGTGACTATGGAGTACACTGACGACAATTGGCCACAAATTATGCCGGATCATTTTTCTGCCGAGGCAGATCGTCAAAGCTTCATTTATTGCAATACCAAATGTGATGCAAAGCTGTTTTTTTTTTTT